GTGATGTCAGTCATAATTTCCCATCTTTCATCCCTGATTTTGTTTATTTGTGGCCTTTCTCTTTTTTCTTTAGTTAACCTAGCCAGGGATTTGTCACTTTTATTAACTTTCTCAAAGAACCATCTCTTTGTTGCATTTATTTATTTATTTTTTGTTTTGTTTGTTTGTATTCAATTTCATTTATTTCTGTTCTACTTTTGATGATTTCTTTCCTTCTGCTGACTTTAGGCCTCATTTTTTCTTTCTTATCTAGTTTTTTTAAAATGAAGCATTAGGTTGTTCTTGTTTTTCGAGATAGGCCTGTAATGATAGGAACTTTCCTCTTATGACCGCTTTTGCCATGTCCAAAAGTTTTGATATGTTGTACTATCATTATCATTTGTTTATATGTATCTCTTGATCTCTCTTTTTATTTCTTCTGTGACCCAGTTATTCTTCAGTGGCATGTTGTTTAATCTCCATGTATTTGTCGTTCTTTCTGATTTCTTTCTGCAGTTGATCTCTACTTTTAAAGCATTATGATCAGAGAACATGGTTTGTATGATTTCAACTCTCTTATATTTGTTGTGACTATCTCTGTGTCCCAGTATGTAGATGATTCTTGACAATGTTTCATGTGCACTAGAGAAGAATGGATAAGCAGCTGATTTGGGATGGAAGGCTCTGTCCATGACAATTCTTTCCAGTTGGTCTAATGTGTCATTTAAGGATGTTATTTCCTTATTGATTTTCTGTTTGGATGAACTGTCCACATCTGACAGTGGGGTATTTCGGTCCCCTACTACGATAGTGTTTTGCTCTGTTTCTGCCTCTACTTCTGTTAGTATTTGCTTTACACAATTTGGGGCTCCACGCTTGGGAGCATAGATATTAATAAGTGTTATGTCTTTTTGGTGCATGATTCCCTTTATCATTATGAAATGTTCATCGGTATCTTTCTTTAACATCTTATTTTGCTGATATTTTCAATATTCTTTTCAATTCATACATAAACTTAGAATTGATCTATTTCTAATCTTGTGTTTTATTCAAGGACAATGAATGTTTTTTTTTTTCTAATTTAAGTCTCTTTCTGTGTCATTCAAGAGTGTTTTAAATTTTCTTGGCGTAGATATTCTCATTAAGTTTATTCGTATGCATTTAATCTTTTTTTTTTGCTATTATATTTGGATTTTTTCTGTCAATATGTTCTCCAACTCTTTATTTGTTTTGCTGGTTTGTGTGTGTATAAAGACTACTGATTTTTGCATGTTAACTTTATATCCTCCTATCTTACTGACTTATTGTTTCACTTAACTTGACGTTGTTTCTGTTGGGCTTTTCAGGTGTACTGCAATTTCATCTTCACATGGAGGTGGCTTTACTTCTTGTTATCCACTCTTATGAGATCAATTAATTTTCTAGTCAACTGACTAAAACTTAACAGTAAGAGGTTGAATACAAATGAACTCATGGGCATATTTTCCCGTTTCTGACCTATAGGGAAACCTCTTGTGGTCCTCCATTAAATAAAACACTAGCATTAGGAATTAGTTAAATATCTTTTGTCATGTTAAGAAAACATTCTTGATTCCTAATTTTTTGAGGGTTTTCTTTTTTTAACAGGAATGGGTGTTGAGTTTTCTCAATGGTTTATTCAGCATCTATGGTGATGATGATATGCTATTTGTACTTAAATATATTACTGTGGTCAGTGATATCAGTGGAATTTCTAATCTAGAAGCAACCTTATACTAACATAAGAAATCCCACCCTGGCACAATATAGTACTTTATAAATGTACTGTTGGTCATTTGCTAATATTTTATTTAATATTTTGTATATTACCTATCAGTGTCATATTGGGTTCATAACAGGAGTTAGAGAATTGTCTTTTCTTTGTAATGATCTTGAATAATTTTGGAGTATAGGTACTTACTGATATGTGGTGGTTTACTGGAATTCAGCACTATATTGATTTGAGTGAGATGCTTCTTGCAGGTAATTCCTCAATAACTTTCTCTGTTTCTCCTATGAAAATTGGCTAATTCAGACTTCCTTGCACTAGAATTGGAATTTTGGTAATCTGTATTTCTCTAGGAAATTATCTCTTTCAGATAGATTTTCACATTTCTTTGCCTAGAAGTTTGTGAAGTAATCTCTTTTATTTTCTTTTTTTCTGTTTCACTGGTTATATATCCTTGGTAATTTATCATTTTGTAAATTTTCTCTTTATACCTTTCTTGCTTTATCAAGCTAGCCAGTATTGTGTCTATTTTAAAACACAAGATTTTGATTTTTTAAATTCTGTATCTCATTCATTTCTATTGTTATTGTATAATTTCTTGTGATGTCTTTTGGTTTACTTAAGTTTTTTATAGTGTTTCTAGGCCGTTATTTAATTCATTCATTTTTATTCTTTTGTTTTCAGTCATAAAGTCTTTAGAACTCTGAATTTGCCTCTGATCACTACTTTAAATGTACCCTTGGATTTGATATGTAGTTATTTATTATCATTCTTTTAAAACATTTCTGTAACTTTGTATAGTATCTTCTTTTTAAGTGAACATTTTTTAAGTCAAAGTCTTTAAAAAATTTCCTGGTATAAAAGCCTTCTTCTTTTCAACTTTTCATACTAATTTTAAGTTGTGTTGCACATGATTCAAGAAGATCGCTTATAATATTTTCACTTTATGGAAATTAATGAAGTCATCTCTGAGATAATTATGATCAATTTTTGACAGGAATATATATTTGGTTTACCTTATGGATTATAGTGTTTAGATCTTCTATATCTTTACTTTTTTTATATATCACTTAATCTGTCTTGTATTCAATCTCTCATTATTACTGTGTTTTCATCTAAGTCGCCTTCCCTTTCTGCTTATTAAAAGTGGTTGCTGTGTTATTTGGGGTGTAAATACTCCTTAGTGTTATGTCTTTCTTGTGAATCTTGGATGTTGTCATTAAGATATGTTCTTGGTCTTGTTTAATGCTTTATTAAAAATCATTTTTAACCACCTCTTTTCTTTTTTAAATTATATTAAATTTATTGGATGACATTGCTTAACAGGATTATATAAGTTTCAAGTGTCCGATTCTATAGTACATCATCTGTTTACTGCATTGTGCGTTCAGCACCTAAAGTCAAGTCTCCTTCATGTTTTGTAACACTTTCCTAGCTGGCTCATTAATTTGTATCTTTGTTTGTTTCCCCAGTATCATTTAACACTAATCTCCTGCATTATGTCAAAAAGATTATTGTACATTTTTCAATTATTCTCTCTTATCTCATTTTTAGTTGCATAATTTCTGTTTTTATTCATGACGTAAAGCACTTTACAGTACTCTTTCCAACATTCTCCACCTTATATTAGTATTTAAAGTAACATCCTTACTATAAGATATTTTAGTGAAGTTTCCACTGTCACATGTGAGATAATAATCCCAGTCATTTTCAGAAGATGACTTGGCAAACATTATCTATAGAGACATGAAGTAAGTGTTTTAAATTTGGGGGCCACATGGTCCCTGTCACAACTACTCAGCTTTGCCATTGTATTGCAAAAGCTTAAATGAACAATACATAAATGATTGATCATGACATTGTTTCAATCAGTCTTTCTTTACATAGTCAAGGAACCATTGAATTACCCTTGGCACACTGAACCACCGTTTGCAGATCCCTACTCTACTACATTTGTCAGGAGAGCTGAGAGGTGCAGAATTTCCTAAGTTACTCCATGGTGGAGAACTGTTTCTCTATAGGCTGTGATAATTGAAGAACGTCTCAGCCGAGACTTTCTTTTTAGTCCATTTCTGTTTTTGGATTTCAAAAAATATTCTGATTCAAGGTATGTTCCATATCCTCAAAATCGTTGCTTAAGTATAATTTAGTATGTTGACTTAAAGTCTCCTTCTGCTTCATGGTTGCCTAATACGGGTGACATTTTGTTTCCTCATCTTTTTGTGCAGTATTTTGTATGGAGTGCCCCTTCCTTTTCTTCATTTGTATGCTAATGGGTTCCTTCACAAGATTTCAAGGTTAACGATGCCATTTGCTGCCAGTACAGCAACGTCCAGATCCTGTATTTATTTCGTTTGTTTGTTGTGGCAATGGAGGGAGAAGGCGAGAGTGCTCTGATTTTGTGGTCCTCTTGTGTCTGGCATGATTCTTAATTTTTCCCTTTTGTTTCCTTTACCGACTTCATTACTCGAGTGCAAAAGATGCTTTTATCTTTCTCTTCGCCTTTGTCCTTCCCTAGAGGATCTCTCTTTCAAAGACTGCACCTTGAAATCACCCTCGCCCACTTAAATGCTCATAGTTTGGAGTCCCTTCCCATTAGGCCCTGCTTTCATCTTTCAGGACACCCATTAGGTATTTTCAGACTTACTTTGTGCTTAGGCATTCTGCCATAGTTTTAGGTCGACTTAAAGCTGCTAACCATTTTCCTTCATCTGTAGGTCTTGCAGCATTTCTTGGTCTGGCTTTGCTTGCCACAAAGCCTAGTGATGGGAGTGTGACAGATTGCGTGCTGGGATTTCATGAGTTTTCCTTTTTCACTCGCAAGTATTTTGAAGTTTTGGCATTCTCTATTTAAAAATAACGATGAGGGTGTAGCTTTTGTGTAGATTTACGTTTCTCGTCTTATTGGTTTGTATCCTTTGGGGAGGAAATATTGGGAGGATGCCAGCTAGGTGGTCCACATTGACTCCTGCCAACTTAACTCTATTTTCAATTGGAATGATATATGTATGTATGTAAACCTTTACATATATACACATATGTATATCTCAGAAGTCTATGTGAGCACATACTAACACCTCTATATACTTTACACACATGCATATCTATTTTTATTCTGTTACTACTGCAGAAGTCACTTGAGGTGGCAGTCTGATTCACTGTATACTTATTCAATAAACATTTTCTCCATAGCTAACATCGGAGGCAAACGAGAGACTTTAGATATCATCTAAGCGTTTCTAAATACTTGATACTCTGAAGCAGGTTGATGAAAATGGACCAAAAGAGCACAGCCACTCTACTAGAGCTTGCTGCAAAGAGTCTGCTGAGTAATGAGCCTGCAGCTATCCACGCCCTGGAGGAACTCCCACGAGACCTCTTTGTTCCATTGTTCGGTGCTGCCTTCTTGGGTGGACATATGAATGTACTAAAGGAAATGGTGAGGGTTTGGCCCTTTCGCTGTCTCCATATTGGGACGTTGATTAGAGAAGAGTCATACTATGAAATCTTGGAAGCCATGATTGATGGTCTACAGATTCTCCCTGCTCAGAACTCTTCCCCTCGGTAAGACTGCGTGCAATAGAGATGTAGTAAGTCAGCAGGAGGGTATTCTAGAGCTTGGGGCAGGGGGTTTCCTAACAGTCTCCCAGTAGTAGCCAATGGTGAATACTGAAGATCTCTGTGGCCCTATTGATTGAACACTTGCAGTCAACTTTGAAATGCCAGTGTCTTACAGAGTTGGCTAGTGAATAGTAGAGGTGACTGAGGATAATATGGATGGATTTATCTCATGAATGTGATGATATGCTTGTGAGACTTGGACATAGAGACTGGGGAGGACCAGATTTGAAGAAATATGGGTTAAAGAATGAAAGATGTTGAATTTGTATGGAAAGTACTTCTTGGCGAATGGTATGTAAAGTGAAAGCCAGAATGAAAGGGTTCTGCTTCTGCTTTTGATCATTAGATTGCTGGGTTGTATTTCAAATCAGCTACTTCTCATCCCCTGTCTCCTCCTCTCCTCACAGGGGACCAAAACTGAGGATCCTGGATTTAAGGCAGGACCTGGAGTGTGAAACAACATGCTCCGAGTTTAGAAAGACGACCCCTTTCTGTCCTGAGTCTTGTGTTTACTCTCAGCATTCCATCTTTAAAATAAAAGAAGCCCAGAATAATGCCAGGAGCCTTGGGATTGTTAATTCAGAGTCTGAGTCACAGTCTGCCTGGGAACCCATGGAACTACTAGTGGATATTTCCATAAGTGGAACCTTGAGGAAAAATCAATTTCTTTCTTTCCTGCGGAGAAAAGTAGAGCAGAGCTTTGGTTCCTTGCACCTCTGCTGCAGAGGTTTGCAAATCGATAACATGTCTTCTGACAGAAGTATCCTGCGCTTTGTGGATATGGGATGCACTGATAACCTGGAAGTGAAAAAGGCTGATCTGAGTGAAGTCACCACCCTTTTTTATGAAATGATCCACCTGACCAGCCTTAGTCTGTTTAATATCCCATTTAAATCTTGCAAGGGGAGAAACTTCAAAAATTTCCTCACCTGGCTTGGGAGGCTAGACAACCTCCAAGACATCAGCTTGTCTTTCTTCTACCTCAAAAATCAGCTGCAAAAACTGCTCAGGTGAGGGGGCAGGGAAGAATCTGGGTTCCCTGAACACACCATTGTTAAAACAGAAGATACTATGTTTGGGTATTCATAAGCTCCTTTTAACGTTTTTCTCCTCCCACCTCAGCAGAGGCACTGCTGGGAGTCTGAAACTGGCCAGGCTCGGGAGAGGTACATCCCGATGAGGAGAAAGAAAAGATTATGAAGGAAGCTGTGCATATCCATTCAGGTGTCCATGCGCAGACACTATGAAATGTCTCTAAATATATTGGAGAAAAAGACTGAGTCATTCTCCTATTGAAGATTACACTCTCTAGAGAAGTAGAAGAAACTTTCAGATGGAGAAATGTTTTATATTCTAGGACTGGTGCACATCTCCATGAACTGGCCAGAATAGTTAACACTGGCAGTTCATGTTGCTCCTTATTATCCCCAGTGTTTAGATCCTGAATGGAGAACTTGTCTTCTGGGAGATAGTCAAGGGAATCCCCAGTTGGCTGCCTTGCCAGACCCATCCTCACCAAATAAGTGAAAAAAATCTACCATTGATTATGTTGTATATAGTAAGCATATATATCTTTATTTCACTTAATGTGTCCCACAGCCCTGTATAATAATTACTGTTGTGCAGTATTTACAGATTTAAAACATTTATGTCAGAGTGGACAAATCACTTTCTAAGGGTAACAGATTTACTCAGTGTGACACCCAAGGTCCCATTGTTAATGACCGTTGTAAAATATGTACAAATCAATTTACTGTGACGTGCCAAGGACTGATACATACTTCAGGACTCCCTGACCTGGCCCAATCCTCATGTCCCTGAAATGATCTTTCTTTTTCTCTCTACAGAGTCTTGCCACCAGCGTTGGATACATTGTATCTATCTTATTGTGGCCTTTCTAACAGAGATGTCACTGCCTTGTCCCAGAGCCCTCAGGCCACCCACCTAACAATGCTGATTCTCAGTAACAATGAAATATTCTCAGAAGCTTATGAGCCCTTCCAAACTCTGCTGGAGAATGTCTCTGGAACCCTGCAGCATCTTCAGGTAAATAATTGCCGGATAACTGATTCGGCTCTCTCTGCTGTCCTTCCAGCCCTGAGCCACTGCTCCCACCTCCGTGTCCTGAGCTTTGCCCACAACCCCATTACAATGCCTATGCTCATGAGTCTTCTGCAGCAGTTAACATCCTTGATGGAACTAAAGCATGTGATTTATCCTGTCCCAGTCCATTGCTATGAACAAGAGGATTCTCATAGCAGGTTGGACCGGCAGAAACTTGCTGAAGTACAGGCCCAATTGATGATGATGCTGCAGAAGGTACAGCGGGACGACATGAACTGGACCACTTCACATGAGTAATTTCCACAGTGGAAGGAGTTGTTTCAATGCTGATATGTGGCCATTAAATCACTCAGTGTTTCTCCTGAAGCCCAAGTTTGTAGAGACACAGATATAAAATTCTACTGTTTGAGGAAACGGGGGCTGAGAACAATGGCTATGTGACTGATCTCTATAAAAGAGAATCTCTTAAAAGGAAGTAGAGGAATTCGAAAGGTCCAGTGAATCTCTTGTCCATTGCATTCAGTGTCCTCCTCTGGTTGCTAATCACAGTGTTGGTCAAGCCAATCAAATGTCCATCATTTCCCTGCCTATACTGACTGGGCCATTTACCCACCTATGAGCACTTGACACAAGTCACATCAGTTAAAACTTTCTGGATGTGGCAGATGTCGAAGCCAACAATTTTACTCTCTAGGGTGCTGCAAACTTCTTGTACTTATGATTGCTTTAAGACGGTTATGAGAACGCATATGCAAGTAGAGGGAAACAAACAAGCTATGCCCACTACCTACTTGTATCTTCATCAGCATTTTTGTGGTACCTGCTTTTCCAGGTCTCAGACCCCGGCTCAGTTAATCCTTAGACCACATACCTTCACCCGCTCAGTGTCCGTTATGATTTAGGTACTGTTTCAGGTGCTAGGACAGAGAAAGTCGCTGATCTCAAAGCACTCAGAGTACAGTGATGTTCTTATGATGTGTCAGTTTCTCCACTCTTTCTTAAGGTATTTGCGGAAATTATTTTCCCGCCCCTCCCCACACGCCAGATGTTTTTTCTCACTCATTCTCTTACATACTCTGCTCAGTCCTGTTGGCTTCTTTATGCTGTTGGGTAGCTGCTCAGCCCTCAGCTCATGGTTTAACTGTTATCTCCTCAGATAGGGTTTTTTCTCTTACTTTTCCATTTAAGTAGGTGTACTCCATTGTTGTTCTTTCCTGATGTACCATTTACATTTCCTTCATGTACACGTCCTTCTGAATGAATTTTCAACCCTTTGATCTTCCACTAGAGGTGCACTGTTCAGTATGGTACACACTAGCCATATGTGGCTAATGAACACTAGAAATTTGACTACTCCGAAATGTGATGTACATAAGAGTTAACCACACACTGTGTATCCAAGACTTAGTAAGACATAAAGGGAGGGTATAGGGTAACTAATCGATAATTTAGTTATGCTGTGTACATGTTGAGATGATAACATATGGTGTGTCAAAAACAGTAAAGAGTAAAAAATGTCAATTGACTTGTTTATATTGTTTACATGTTGGCGTGATTGTACTGTATTTCAAAGACTGTGTAAGAAAATATGGTTAACTAATTAATGGTCTGTTTATATGTTCACATTTCAAGATGATAAATCATTGCATTCTGACAACCTATTGTGAAAAACAAACTTAAAATTAAGTAATAGTATGTTTACATTACTTACGGGTTGAAATGACAACATACCGAATGTGAATGACTTAGTAACAAAAGAAGAATGGAAAATATTTTGTGGTTCCTGTGTAGTGTCTCCTTGTTGAAATGAAAACTGACAATATTTTAAAGAGAGTAAGAGAGAAGAAAGTAAACATAATTGGTGATATGTTTATATTCTTTTAAAGTTGAAATATACCACACGCATTTCAGAGTCTCAGAACAAAATTTAAAAACAATTAATTCATTCTCTTTGCTGACACCATGAAATGATACCAAACTGCATTTCTAGGAACTAGAAGAAGAATATAAAATTACTAATTATTAAAAGTTACTAATTCGTTATTATTTCCATTTTGTGATAACGCACTGCATTTCTGACTTACAAAGACAAATATGTTAACTACTACGGAAATTGTGTACATTGGTTTCTTTGTTAAATCTTATCACATGGCATTTCAAAGAATTCCTCAGAGAAATGGAATAAGAAACTAATATGTTTATTTGGCTTCCATGTTAAAATTATCCACTGCATTTCAAAGACTTACCAAATATATAAGCTTCATTAAGCACTTATTTCTACAGTTTGCATGTTGACATTATAACTGTCTTTTAACATTTTATTAAATAAAATAATGATTAAAATAAAATCAACCTGCTCCTTTAAATCTCTCTGTAGATTGTTGAGGCAAAAACTCATGAGATACTCATATTTGGTACATCGCATTTGGTACATGTACTTGAATGAATAAAGAGGACTGAATAACGAGATTGTGCTTAACATCTATGGAGGCATTTAAATACTTCTTGACCCACGATTCAAGAACATCGTCCCCTGTGATGGTTTCCTTTGCATGTAGCTTAAATAATCCACTATATTTTTTCAGCATTCCAAGTTCGTCCTGCAAAACAATAGGGCCAAGAAACGGCAACAACAAATATGGACTCTAGTTGAGTGACGTGTGGGACTTACAGGACCAAAGGTAAAGGATTTTCCATATCGTAGGGTTTTTTAAAGATAACATGCTGAGATGAGATATGAATCTCCAACTGAGGAACACTTACCCCAATGTATATGGGAATGGAACATTTTTTCACAGAGCATCTGAAGTGTTGTTCACAAAACAGGGAAACCCTGACCAAAGTAAACATTGAACCTTGGTTTACTAAGAGCCAAGGAATGTATGAATATAATAATTATAATCTCTTCTTCTCATTAAAAATTACTTCTTATTCTTTAATTCACTTTATCTTACCTCGTTGGCTGGTCTCTCACCCATTAGATCTTTTGCTTTTTCCTTATTCAGAGATAACCCCATATTCTAATAATATTTCTGCTAGCTTGGTGGCAAAAATAATTGCATAAGTGCAAATCATTAGACCGCCTTATCTACAGCAACAAATATGGTGCCTTGGTGTAGAAAACAAGATGCTTCCTGTCTGGCTCAGCAGACACAAGACCTCTCATTTTGTGCAAATACGCCACACTTTTTCAAAAAGAGCCTCGTTATTATAATTATTTAATAATTATAGCTGCCATGTTGTGTGTCCCTATTATATGTCAACCCTGGTGGCAAACTAATCATGTAAGTTAACTCATCTGAACCTCAGAAACTTACTGAGAGGGTATAATTTTAATTTATAGATAAGATATATGAGTCAGGAGACGCCACAGTATGCCATGGGAGTAGACCATCTCAAATTTCAGTGGCTTATTCATCATTCCTATTGCAGGTGCATGACAGGTGCACACCTGTAACCAGGATGGAGGGGAGGGGAGTGATTGTTGGGGGTCTGAGCAATTCTTATGGGAAAAACTTGGAGACCCTAATGGAAAGAATGGCCACCATCTTGGCAATGGTTAGTCACTTTGCCTGTGGAGAAGACGGCCATGGGGTGCAGGGATATCTCAAATCATTGACCCTACGTTATAGCACAGAAGTGCCACATTTCACACACAGCCCATAAAGGGTACTCGTCACTTAAGCAAGAAGTGCAGTTCTGCAAGGTACCTGGAATAGGGGAGAAATGGAAACCTTTGGTAAACAGCACTCCTGACTAGCATATGAGGGAATTGAAGATCAGAGAGATGGGACACTTGACATAAATCAGATAGGCAGTAAGCACCAGCACCAGGACTTGAATGC